GTGTAGAAGACATTGCGATGCGCGGGAGCAAACGCCTCCTGGGATTTGACCACCACTTGGGAACAGGGCTTCCAACTATACTTAGCTATGAGGATAAAAAAAGTGCCAAAATGTGCCAAATAGAAAAATATAACGTGTTACCTATGTTTTTTCTGAGTTACGCTTTTTTGGAAATGTTCAGTGGCCCAAATTATGCGAAATAACTCCTTTACAAATTTAATCCTCTTTTCGTAAAATAGTGTCTTTATACGAGTAGTATTTAGTTCCTTCAAACGATGTATTTTAATGTGCATACATCATGAAAATTTTGTACAAAATTCCTTAGGCGCCGAACGCCGCCGCCGCCGCCGCCGCGCCGATATTTACGTAACTCGGCGGCGGCGCGTGAGAAATGACAAAAAACGGCGGCGGCGGCGGCGTGGCTCGGCGGCGTATACCTCTAGTACATACATATGTAAATGCAGATGTATATTTGAATTTTGTTGTAGATTGCAACTTCTAGGACTATTCTAGAGATGCTAATAGATTTCGTAAATTGAAGATATTCAGCCTTATCATGAGTTTCATTTACCCCGAACCGGTTCACTTTCCACTTTTCGTTTCCATATATTTACTAATGGGCGGACTCAGTATAAGGCTGATTGCTTTGAAATTTGTTGTTGAGTTTATTTGAAAGCAAACTAACGAAATATTTTAAAAACGAATTTCTAAAAGAATGTCAATTATGACCTTTTGCATTGAAACAACGAAATTCCTTAAATTAATTTCAACGCACTTTTTAAATGTTCATCCATCTTATCCAAAACATTAATTCGTCAACGAAACTTTATTTTTGCGACAAATTTACTTTAAAAACTTTAATATCAAATCTCTTTTTTTCAGCTGTTTTGGTTTTGTATTTGCGTGATGATCTCTATTTCAGCGAAAACTTCGCAACGATTATGCTGCATATATTTAATTTCTTTGGGCAATTTTGTCCAATTTTCGGTGCTATATTGGCAGACAGTTATTTCGGTAATGTCCGCACGATTTCCTACTTTTGCATGCTGTATGCGATAGGTTGGGTGATGTTGATTCTAACGGTACTACCCAACATAGGGTCATCACTGATGTAAGTTTTATATGTAAATATGTTTTTGAATCAAGCGTATATGGATTAATTTTTTGGTTTGTTTTTAATTTCAGTGTTTTAGTATCCGTTTCTTTGTTATTTATTGCCATTGGTAATGGCTCCATACGCGCATGCATCACCTCCCTAGGTGCGCAGCAATTCAAAGTGCCAGAACAAGCTAGTCGCTTAGCTGAATATTTTTCCTTGTATTATTTTGTGTATTATTTTGGTATACTGCTAAGTAAAATTTTACCTCCTTTTGTGCGTGCTAAAACGCAATGTTTCGGTAAAACCGACTGTTATTCGGCGGTATTTGGAACGCTAGGCCTATCTTTTGCGGCTTCATGGGGTGAGTATGATTTGAAAATATTTTATTTTGAGGGATATTTTCGTTAGTCGGCTTTAAAAAAAAAACAACGATCATTGTTTCCAGTAATTTTTGCCATCGGACGATTTTTCTACAAATCCGAAAAACTCTCCGAAGAAAATATACTGATAAAATTTTATGGTTGTATTAAACACGCTCTGGTGGTTAAATGGAGTAGAACGCGCAAGGATGAACAACCTGCCTATTGGCTACACAATGCAGTGGGTAAATATGACGAGGCATTTGTAAACGATGTGTGCAAAGTATTAAAGGTAAATAGTTGGCTGCTTATTTGCATCTTAAACCGTCTATTAATAAAATATGTACTCACTTTTGTCGTCTACAGATCACTAAGCTCTTCTTGCCACTGCCTATATACTTCGCTCTGCTGGCACAGCAGGATTCTAGTTGGACATTTCAGGCTTCAATGATGAATACGACAGTATTGAATACGATAACAATACAACCTGATCAGGTGAGCACTAGGCGTTATATTTTATATAATTCCTTTGGAAATATTCGTGTATAATTTTCAGGCCAAAGCGATGGGGCCCATTTTGCTTTTCATCCTTATACCTTTGTGGCAATATATTTTTACGCCTATTATTCGCCGATTATTTGGCAGAGAATTGAAGCCACTTCATAGCGTTACCATAGGTGGCGTGTCCTCAGCGTTGGCGTTTATTTGTGCGGGTGTGCTGCAAGAATATATTTATGTAAGTTTGGCCAAAATCATACTATGGGCATGGAAAATCCTCACCTTATTAACATTCTAGAATCATCCTTATCGTTATGTTAGCATAGTTTGGCAAGTTCCTCAGTTCTTGTTACTAATGCTGGGCGAGTTATTGCTGTCCATTCCAGGCTTGAAGTTTGCATTTACACAGGCAAGTAGAAAGCAAATAACACCTCAAAACTTTTGATTATATAAACTACTTTATAGGCGCCAGCTTCAATGAAATCGGTGGTTACAGCTGCGTGGTTCATTAACAATGCTTTTGGCAATCTTATTGTTGTGTTTATAACAAAGTTGGATATTTTTGCTTCACAGGTGAAGTATATGCATACATTAGTATTCATACTCAATACATAATACTTTGATAATTTTTTTAGAGCTACGAATACTTTTTCTATGCTGTTTTAATGATTGTGAGCATAATTATTTTTGCCGTGCTATCTTATGATTATGTGCTGCATCAGCAAGCTGGTGATTTACTAGCGAACATTAACTTACTACAGTCAAGGCGCCATTTAATGGAGGACGATGATGAACCTACAACCAGCGCTGGAAGCTCCAGCAGTCGTAGAATTAGCATTTAGTTTGCATAAAACAATTCCATATTAAAAATTCCATTAAATACCATTATATCTAAATTTAATCTAAAATTTTAAAAACATATTGCAATTCCAGTAAGGTATCATCCGGCAAATCTGTGCAGTGAACGGCGTTTAATGTTTTATTAACTCCAAATTTTGCACGCAATGTATGCGGACGCAGCAGTTTTGCAATTTCCTGTAAAGAAGTTAAAATTAGTACTAGCATCTTGCAGAAAATCAATGCTATCATACCGGATCCATTGGTCCACAAAATTGTCTAAATTCCTCGTATGAGTTTTTATTTTCATCGGCACAAACGATTTCCAACGCCATACTTACACCGCTTGCAAGTTGTGCCACCATTGGCTGTATGAATTAAGAAAATATGAAGTTAGTGATACATATTATGTATGTGGCAATTTTATTGGAATACTCACTATATATTCTGGCAAAATACCACGGTAGACTTCAAAAAATTCTTCACAATTCACGCGCTCCATTAAATTCATGCGAAGACCAGCAATTTTAAAGCCGTTACTGGTTATCTCAGATATTATTCGACCTAAGTTCCCTTTAGTAAAGAAAAAGAACAGTTTTGTTACCTACATATGTACGTAAATATTTATTATTTATATGAATTCGAACACACAAACCTTCTTTAATGCAATGCGGTTTTATAATGGCCAATGTAGAATTTTTCAGTTGTAGTGTGGCCTGCAAGCCATTTTTTGGATTGAAAAAGAAACTAATATCCTATTAGACAAAATATAATACGATTTAACATTGAAATGAATTTAATATACATATCGTCACCTGAAATGCAAAAAGACATAACAACCTCGTCGCTGAAAGTAAAATGCCGTAGATAGATAGACAGAATGTTAAAGGCTGTGCACTGCGACCTTAGGTCTATTGTGCCCTCAGAGCTCATCATAACACATCGTCCAGTCCCAATGCTCTGATGAATCCGAGCAGTTTCGAGGGAGGTAGAGAGTGTATATGCCTAACCTCTGGCCACATCCTTCCCAGGTGTGTTAGCCTTCTTCTCGCAACCGCATCGCACTCAAATAGGATATGCCGCGGGGTTTCTGGTGTCATGTCGCAGTACCGACATAGATCGTTCGCACTGATCCCCAGGTTATGCATATGGGCCCGCAGTCTGCAGTGCCCCGTTAGCATTCCTGTCAAGAATCTCAGGTTAGTCTTTTTAAGGGTTATAAGTTCCCTAGATCTTTTGGGATTATATCCTCCAAGAAGTTCCTTCGCCTGCCTTAGCCCAGGCGTGTTCTCCCAGTGTGCTCTTCTTAACCTTCGCTCTTCTGCTCTTAACTCCTCCTTGATTATATGAGGCCCCACTGCAAGGAAGGGTTCAGGGCCTATGGGTCGAGTGGCTGCGGCCTCTTTTGCCAGTCTGTCAGCCTCCTCGTTTCCCTGTATGCCTTTGTGGCCCGGGACCCACACCAGTTGTAGTGTGTTGTTTTCCCCCAGGGAAACCGTAGGAAAGTGCGTTGTTGTAAAATGCCGTAACTAATCAAAAATTCAAAATTCACTTTTTGATTGATACGATGGATTTCGTCGAACTAAAACTGCCCAAATCGTTTTATGAAAAAAAAAATTATCAGTCACGGTTTTCCCATTTCAGTGACGATGGTTGTTAAGTCTTTTTTCCATTTCAGGTGACGATATATTACCTGTTCTGCCTCCTCTTCGTTATTTGGGCAATAAATGCTTAAACGAATGTCTTCCCGTTCGAATAAAGTTACAAGCGGGGCAATAGTGTTATCTTTAGAACAATCTTTACTTTGTTCCTGGCAGGATTTGAGTTTCTGTACTACATTATCGGCAATGACTTCGAAGCCCATAGAAGGACCACCTATTAGTTGGTTCAATAGCGAGCTGCTAATCAAAAGTTATATAAACAACATACAAAACTGCTAGTTGCAACAGAGTGCGAATATCTAACTTACGAAGCTTCAACATTTGGTTTATTTCTTAAGAAGGCCTTCACCTGCTCGGGTGTGAATTGCACCATAAGTCCTCTATTAATACTAAAATTACAATCGATAAGAGCACAGAGTACGGCACCCAAATGTTGAACGCAGGTGTTCTTTAAAAGCAGAAAAGTTCTATTCGAGATAAAAAAAAAATATTTAAGGCAGTTTGTTTTCGTAATGTAAGGCTTTTTAATACTTTGTGCGATATTTGTGGAGCGAGTTCTTCGTTATTTCATCAGCGTAATTGACTATATCAAATTGTCTTCCGAAAATGTTGATTTTTGAGCCAATAAAAAAATCACGCTCGGATAACTCAGGCATTTTGGTGCGCCGTAGGAAAGTGCGTTTGTGTTGTTGATCGTACTAGAAGCCATATACATATGTAAGTATGTACATATAAAAAGGATGGTTAAGGATCCGTTATCTACATATATTGTAAGCTAATACTAAGCCTGTTTCAGTTACTTCAAGATTTACAGGAAAATAAGTGTTCGCCATTAATAAACCTTATGAAAGATGCCCGACGGTAACAGCTTCCTGTAAAATCTCGTGAATTCCTACAAATCCTGAAGTACCTGGAACAGGCATACTAATTACCACTTCAATTGCATTGCCGGTTGGGTAAAAAATTATAGTGAATGTGCGTATAATTGCTGCCTCCTCCTGATACCATTCCGCTATGAAGGATAATCGTCGATTGAATGCCTGAAGTAATTTACAAAATAAGTCACTGTGTAATACATTCACTGGCAAAGAACTTACCATTTACCTCTTTAAGATGGGTTTATTTTTATTAAAAAAGATGCTACAAAATATAATTTTCCTCTAAATATTGGAACTTACATATGTGAAGTAAATTGAAAATTACTCCTTTATTTCCAATTTCGGTTTCCCGGCAACCGGTGGGCTATGGTGACTAATACAGTAGCATTCAAATTTCTAGCGTTTTCGACGGCTCTCAAACTATAACCGGTAAGTTTTATTCTTAAAGTGCTGTTAGACGTGGCAATGCAAGCGCTTTTCCTTCGCACTTTGTTATGAATTGCCATTATTTCGCGTGTGTGTCCAAGGAATTTTGACATTTTTGATACCTCACAGCCTGTTGCCTCACTCTTTCCTCAAGAAATAATGGAACGGGCATATATTTCTGTTGCAAGCCTGGGTTGCCTTGTGCTCTTTTTTCACAAAAAACTTTAGAAAACCGTACTAGAAAACGTAGTAAATTTCTTAAGAACTGCGTACTGCCTTAAGGAAATTTGACTCAAGAAAATTTCTTAGCCATTTCTTGTACGTCATTTTATTTGGAGTTTTTGCTTTTCTTGAGAGCTGCATACAGGCCTTTATTATTAACAATCAGATAGTCCTTTTTGCAGATTTGCGGAAATCGCTTTCGGAAATAAAAATCGCAAGGTGTAACTGTAACTGAAATTAACCGCTTCCGAGAAATAATTTCAACTTGCTCGTGCTGCACTAGCAATTTTCATGTTTGCTGCATGTGCTGTCAAACCAATCGAGTGTCGCATTGTGCCGCGTTTTTTGGCGAATTTGTATAACCCCCGTCTCCATTTTCTGCGACTTGCTGTCTTAACGTATCACATTCAAAATGGCATCAAGCCAATGAGATCGACCTGTACGCAATGTAGATGGTCCGGTAAAATGAAAACTGAGTTGCCAAACTACCAAATGACAGCTGATGTTAAGACAGCGATGCTAAGAAATTCGGCAAGGCAGATATGGTTTAACAGTGGAAATTCGCGGTATCCACCTGACATTTCTGTCTTAACACATATTTTTTAACAGAATCTGTGTAACAGGTGTAAAATTTTATAAATGTTGCGTCACATATAAAAAAATACTTCTAATTAATTTATTCTCCTGATATGAACTATTTAAATACATACAAAAGCATTCCACATTTTGTGATTGTTTTTTGCGCATTTTAGCATTATCAAAAAAAATTTCAGTCAGTAATTTTGTTATAAGCATAAAATTGTCTGGTAACATAGTTGAAAGTGGAATTGTCTGCCTTCACCGTGTAAACATACAAAATTAGTATACTTTCAAAAGTCACTTTCAATGCAAGGTGCAATTGCTCTGCAATCACTAACAATTAAGTTTCTAACGAAGAAAATCGGTGGATATAAACACGAGTAGTGAATAGTCAAATGAAAATGCGTAATGATTTTTCCCCAGTTAAAGTTTGATTTTTTTTTTCTTAAAACTTCTCCACTAAATACCTCAATATTTTGAAGGGATGTGGATTTTTAAAAAACGGCATCGTAATCTAGAGCACAAAATTAAGTTTACGTGCTTGGCCGTGATATTTCTAAGTTTACCTAGTGTTATTTTATTTACTTTATTTGTATTTATTTATTTTATGAAAGCTTAAATAATAAATTATTAAATGAACTAAAAAGAAACGCAGCGCTAGCAACGGAGACTTTCGACTAAAACCTAGCGTTATTATACAAAACGACTTCATAAGTTTAGGCGTAATATTTATTTCTTTTCAAAGCGCTTATATTTCACAATTTAACATTTCTGTCAATACGGAAACAGTTCAGTAGGAGTATCTTAAAATGGCTGTGTTAAGTGAATTATGAAAACATGCGTTGCTAAAAAATAAATACATATTTGAATTGAATTGCAACATGAAATGCTTTTAAAGTTTATAGTAATTGGAGCTTTTTAATTTTTGCTATAAATTTTACTTCGTTATTTTTTGTTAAAAAAAGATAACAAATTGTATGTATTTTGGTAAGTATTAATACTTTTTATCAAATTCTTGCCAATTTCCATATTTCATTTTAAATTGTGTTTGCTCACAAATTTGCTACGCTTTGCGCAAACAGACTAAACTTGTTATGTATAAAATTTAAAATATGTATTTCTCATCAATGTAAAAATATTGGATAAACGGTTGTTGAATCGCATGCGATTTCCTTTATTTACAGGAAAAAAACTAATTTCCATAATCAACGCTATGTTTGTTTTTCTTGTCAATATGTGTCGGGTGCGTTCCAAAACGTCAAAAACAAAGCAAGCATCAGTCACTTTTATTTCTAAACCGCACTAGAAGAAGTCTTAACTTGTGCAACCTAGTAGAAAACTAGCATCTAACCGTAACTGCGCACATTTGGCAATACAAAATACAAGAGGTTTAGAAATAACAGACTGATGCTTTTTATTTTGACGTTTTGGAATGCACCCGTACTTATGTAGGTTTTATGGAAATCGAGTGACTAATAGTACGGTGCACATACTTCTGGCTTATAAATTCTATATAATATGTTATTACTCGCGTACCTTAGTGAAAGTTTACCTCAACACAAATGAAATAAAGGAATTGTTTTGTTTATGCTTTAGCATCATTTTACATACTAAATTTGAAATGATTTTCTAATTGAAGTTGGTCAAATATTGTTTGATTTTTCTTTTCCCACTCTCCTGGAAAAAATATTTATTTATATTAATAGGGGTTTTTAATGTATAGTTTGGAGTTTCTTTTTGTGATCATTTGTGATCTTCTCTTGTTAAGGTTCCATTTACTTCTGCACTACATATTTCAAATGTTTAACCAATTATTAAACTATTTTTGCTCAGCATCTGCAGCTGCTGGCTTTTCTTCTTGTACATTCTCCTTTTCCTTTTCCTCATCCGAAGAATCTTCGTCATTTTTGGATAAGCTGGGGATATCATCATCTGAATCTTCGTCTTCTAGACCCATGTCGTCGAATTTTTTGTCCCATGACGAATTAAATAAGTTATTAAAAGGGGCTTCAGGTTCACCCTCTGAAAAAAATGTTAAATGCATTTTCATTTATTTTTAAGCCTAGGTGATAGTTTTTTATATTTACCATCCTCATCATCGGACTCATTTTTCCACTTTGCGAAATTCGCTTTCAAGAAGTGCAATTTGATTTTATCGTTGGTGAGGCTGGGCCAGTAGGGACCTTTTTCTTTCTGTAATGTGTTAATAAATACTTCATATATGGCATTATATAGAAAAATAATTAAAACAAATACTGTCGCATCTATGGATTTAAAGCTCAAACTTTTAAAACATCAGCTAACTTTATCCAACTTTTTTAAATATTGCTCCAGCAAATTGTAAAATGTTTCATTTTTATGATAAAAGTTTAACAAATTTTACTTTTTAACCAAATGAAGGCCGTAAAATTTATAAATGCACATTTATTCTCACCTTGTAAATAGTGAATTCCAAGCAACGCCCAATGTTCTTGCTCGTCACCCTTTCCGGATCCACGTTGTGTAGGAAATTTAGCGTTACTTCATATTTTTTGGAGGCGTCTAAGGCGTTAACACCCTTGAAAGTGAAACTATTCTCCGTCACTCTAAAAATAAGATTATTTTTGCTTGGCTAATAAGTTTTAGATAAGAATGCAACTATCGCTTACTTATGTTCAATGTTGGTGCATTCAACGTCGATGATTACATAGAGCAGATCAAATCGTTGGGCCCATGAAACTGGTGGATATATTGTTCTGTTGGATATATTAAAATATAAATATTTTGTATGTTTAGCGTTTGTGCCACAACTTAATTTAGAGCTAAACGCTCGTTAAACTATTGTCATGAATGCTACAGATGGAATCAACAAAAGTAGTGCAAAAAGTGGCCCCGTTGCTCCGCTCCGTAAGTTTTAAATTACTCCGTCTCAAACACCTTTGCTGGACTTTTAACTTATGACTCAAATAACAATAAATAAGTGTTTGTACATGTGTACATGTTCATATTGTTCACTAGCTCGCCGGCTAGCAACCCAAGCTTTACACATACCGGATCAAAGAAGTAATTTTCATAACCTAATTTAATTACATACATTAAATTCTTAATTTGGCATTACAAATTTCAAAGGTATTAAAAACTTGTATGTAGTGGAAGAGTTTAAAAAACATGCAACGTACAATTTCTGGGCGGCGTATTTAGAACTGTTCGAGAAAATGCTTCTTAACATAACCTAAAAAGTTTGAAGAAATGCTGTGGTCATAGACCGCACTGCCCTTGGCAGCTTCGTATGAATTTAATTTACAAAGTTTATATTAGTGCCAGACTTCTTTTTTGCATAATCATATAAATAAAATACACAAAACGGACACCAAAGGAATATGATGCCCCATTGTAGGAACTAAAATAATCAAAATAACCAAATTGTAGTCACTGCCGCCGCAACCGTCGCTGCTCATGATGTTCTTTATACCAACAAAACGCACACCCGCTTATGGTGCACGCATTTTCACGCTACGCCAGCCGCTTTTCATCATACGATTTAATTCACTTACCCCGTTGTTTCCGACATATTTCCAAAATGTATTTTAAAATTACTTTGCGATCAACGCTATTCGTAATCGAGATTAGTACGTTTTTGTGGCTAATTTCACTTGTAATACTCAGGAAATAGTAGTTCGATTGCTCGCACCCGCAAAAAAAGACGAATAAAAGAAGCGAAAATTTGGCTCGTTCTTCTTTGTGAAGTTTCAGAGTTGCAATGAGTACAGGGTGACGCGCCAAAAAATGCAAGTTATTCGGGGAGTTCCCATTTCTAAAAATTAATCTAACAGGTCTATTCTGCGCTGGTAATAAATAGCCTGTTCCCGTACTACACGATTTCCAGGATTCGCAGGTTTTACAGGAACAGCTGTTTTCGCCTTTAATAAACGTTATGTGAACGTGGCATACGGGAACGACTTTGGACTAAATCCTGCAAAACCTGCAAATCGTAGAACTTTTTGAACGCACTAAAAGATAGGCACAACAGCAAATCACTTTCATTTGGACCGAAATTTATTCTTCTCTTATTTTCTGACATTTTTGCTCAAATATTACACTTTAAATAAACCGCATACACCATCTCTAACAACTAAACAAATCATTTTTTGTGGTGCTGCCGTAATTTTTAACAATATATTTTCCATACTTAAGTACGAATTGTGTAATGCAAACTTGAACAAAAACTGTTCTTAGCTACGTTTTTTCTCAATTAGAACTAAAGTTCAACTTAAATTTAAATTGTGAGACTATCCCTGAAATAACCCATTAGCAGCGCCTAGCGCCATCTGTTCGTCGACTTTAACCAAACTTAAATTTCCCCAAAAAAAAAATCAAATTATTTTTGACATTTGGTTTGCATTTTTCGACATTTGCGAATTGTATTACTCGTTGTCTTCTTCGCCAATAAAGAAAGAGGTACTGCGTGACATCCCTATTACTTAACCAATAAATTCCTTAATCCTAAATTTCATATTTAATTAAAATCAAATACACCTTTAATTCACAGAAAATGTTGCGTGTCGCTTCTGGACAAGTTGCTAACGTGCTGCGGGGAGCTATGGGCCTTTCTGGTCGCATGGCCAATGTTGGTTCGGTGCGTGCCTCACACGGCGAAGAAAATGAAGAAGTTTTCAACAAACGCTACGAGGACTATTTCAATCGCAAGGATATCGATGGCTGGGAGGTTCGCAAAGGCATGAACGACTTGCTGGGTATGGATTTAGTGCCCGAACCAAAGATTATTGAAGCAGGTTTGCGTGCTTGCCGTCGTGTCAACGACATTGCCCTGGCCATTAGGTGGTTAGAAGGTTGCAAAGACAAATGTGGTGACCAAAAGGCAACCATCTACCCTTATCTTATCCAGAACATTCGTCCCACTCTGGAAGAATTGGGCGTTCCAACCCCAGAAGAATTGAACTACGATAAACCAGAATTGGCTTTGCAATCGGTCTATGACATGTAATTTATTTACCACGGTACCCTATCAATTTAGTTAAAATTAGTCTGCTAAAAGTGATAGACGCTTAAGAAGAAATGTATTCTATAAGTTAACGTTGGGTTGCAGTAAATTGGAATGCATTTTCGGTATTTTACAATAGCTGAATAAATGTGTTGGATATCAGAGCTGCCGACAGTGAAATTAAAACGAAAAATTGTTTTTTGTGTTGCTTATGTAATCAATAGATTCTCTGATATGAGACAAGTACATACATTTCAGTTAAGAGGAATAAGCAGCTGTTATGGTGAGGTTAGATTAGTATAAGGGGAGAAATTTAAATGTATGCAATAAAGTTGTTGATCTTAAGAGTAAATTTAGTTTTCATGGCGGAGCGTGTACTCACATTCGGAAGTTAACTATAAATTTAAACTATAAACTAAAGTAGGGAGTTTACTACCGAATGGGAGTTAAATTTCCACTGCCAAAACTACCCCAAGTTAAGTTTCATTATTTAAGCTGCAACTGTTGATGTTTAAATTTCTGCTACCATGCCTTAAATCTTCATCGGTTATCAACATTCATTACCTCAGAGAAGCGGCAGTAAATATTTGGCTTAAGGACTTTGGATTTTTTGAATGTACATACATAATTATCATGAATATTATTGCATCATGATATTTAGTCATGTACCTATGCCGATGCTTTTTGCGTCAGTCAAATATTAAAAAAAAAAATCGGAATATTTTGAATTTGAAAATATATTGTAGACTTTTAAAAAGAAGACGAAATCTTAACATGTTGCGTACCTTGGCCGCTGGATTAGCTAAAACTGCCCGTTCTTCCAGACGCCTAATTACTTTAGGATCTACTCGTAATTGTATGTATGTGCACGAAGAAGAACCAGAACAAGTTTTTAACAAACGCTTTGAGGATTTCTTCAATCGTTGTGAAATCGATGGCTGGGACTTGCGTCAAGGAATGAACGATATTTTAGGATATGATGTGGTTCCCCATCCTAAAATAATAGAAGCTGGTTTGCGGGCATGCCGCAGAGTTAACGATATTGCACTGGCTATAAGGTGGCTGGAAGCATGTAAGAATAGGTGCGGTGACAAAGTAGACCAGATTTACCCATATTTACTAAATAACATACGTCCGACTCTGTACGATCTTGGCATACCAACACCAGAGGAACTGAATTACGATAAGCCAGAATTGGCGGTAAAATCTGTTTTTGATATGTAATACCATTGACAGGAAGTTAATCTGGAATTAATATACAATTTAAATACACATTAAAAGAGATGAATTAAAAAATTGCTGTATATTTATTATTGTCACTCGTCAAGAGTTAACAAGTATAGGTATGTACAAATACTAATTTGATAACCGGTTAAACATCTTTTATTAAATGTACTTAATTCTTGGTTAGTAGTTTTAAAACTTTAATTCTCCAAACACCTTATTCTCTTATCACATTTACGACTTCCACTTCTTCAGTAGATCGGCTGCCTTTTCCAAATTTTCCTGTTTTTTTATGAAGCAATAACGTACAAAATTTTCACCAAGCTTTTTATGCGCCTCGCCGTAGAAAGCACTTGGCGGTATACCTTGCAAACCCATATTTTTCGTCATCCACTTTGTAAATTTGTAGTCGCGATATTCGTCTGTCTCCGAAGTTAAATCAATTTTATTTCCTGCAATTGTACAATGTACAATAATAACGCACAGAATCCTGCTCATTTCATAATTTTCACTTACCCAAAGAACTCCAATCGGCCAACATGAAGTAGCCACCCTCTGGAATAGTAGGCTTCAATCCAGCATCTTCCAAGAATTTTGCCATAAAGTTCCGCTTTATCTTTAATTCCTGTGGCAAACTGTTGAAGTAACTTTCCGGAGAGCCCAGTCGTTCTAATTCCAATTCAAAGCCCCTTGCCACCGCCTCCTGTATTGGCGTTGGACAAGTATACACTGAGTTTTGATGTACCATTTGCAAATTAGTGATTAGATTGGCAGGCCCATAGGCCCAGCCGATTTTCCAGCCAGTGACCGAAAATGTTTTGCCTGCAGAACCAATTGTGATGGTACGTTCCCACATGCCGGGCAAAGTGCAAATGCGAATATGTTTTGCATCATCGTATACCATCCATTCGTACACTTCATCGGAAAGGCACAGAACGTTCCACTTGCGACAAAGCGCAGCAATGCGTTCTAACTCATCACGATGAAATACCTTGCCAATAGGATTATGTGGTGTGTTGAGTATAATCATCTTCGTCTTATTGTTAAAAAGCTGCTCAAGTTCAGCATCGTCCAGAACCCAATCGGCAGAGCTGATAGTGCCATTTGATTTGTTCTAAGGATAGTAAATTTTCGAGTAACGTACAATACAATAACTGATGCTCGTCGACTTACCGGTTTTAGGGCTATGAAGCGTGGTATGCCACCCGCCATTTTCACCATTGGTTCATAACAGTCAAAAAATGGCTCGATGATAATTACTTCATCACCAACATCTACATGACCCATTATAGAGGAGTAGAGCGCCTCATAAGCGCCTGATGTGACTAAAATTTCGCTCAGAGGATTCACTTCGCGTCCAACTAAGTTTGAGTAAAGTTTGCTTAACGCTTGTACGAGCCTAACATGACCCTATGGTTAAAAGTTTATAAAAATATTAGTGAGAAAGATTCTCAATCGGAAGTAGCTCACATAACCACGTGTGTACTGCTGCAACAGGGGATTATCACTTTTCGCAATATCCGCCAAAGCATCTGTAACATAGGAGGGTGGAAGTTCGTCTGGAAATCCTTGCCCTAAATTTAAAGGCTTATACTTCATCGCTAATCCAATATATTCATTCCTATGAAATGATTGAGTCTCACGTATATTTTTATAGGAACTCGTACTTGAAATTATTTTATACGAACCAAACACTAGGTTTACTGCCTTGTAGACGTTTCGGTAATCCAAATTTATCCATTGTCGCGTTAGATTGCTCCCGTTGTGGATTTCGATGGACAATATTACTTAAAATGGCTTGTTTATCACGCAACTGACGTGTTTGCTGACACAAGAGGCGTGATGGCAGACTAAGCATCTGAAAATGGATTCAACAAAAACTCATAAGTAGGTATGTACATGCATGCTGGATGGCCCAAACTTTGATAAGCTCTTATCTATTCAAACAAATAAAAAAAAACTTATCAGCATTTGAATAGCTTTTTGCTCATTATCATATTTACATTAATTAGTTTACTATTGTACAAGGATCACAGTTAATAAATGCAATGTAGGTGTATATTAAGGTGTGCGTGTCGCGCTGTGCTTATTCGGACTGCCCAATGTGGAGTACGCTGAATTAAATTATTGTTGTTGCATAATGCAATAAACAATGTTAATTTTCATACGTACATATATATGTAAGTACGTACATATATTAGCATAGACCAATGTGCTAAGAATATACAAAATTTGCATTAAAGCAAACGGCAGAACGGAAATTATGCGGTGCTGGAATGGCCAAGCAATTGCGGGGTAGTTTCCAAAAGGAAAAACCATTTTTTAATACAATATTTATTTATTAAATACGGCAAGCCTTAACATTTATAAGAACTGGTGTTGGCTTTAGATATAAATAATTCTTGCTCTGGAGCGAGCACTTCTTCTTAAGTCATTTAGTGCTGGCCGGCTTCCTTAAAACGACAACTTTGCTCCTTTGGAAAGCGGATAGAATTTTCAGATGTGTTGACGAATGTAGGTTAAAAATGGACTTCATATTTTTACTTGCTAATTTTATTGGCATATATACAGAACTGGTTAAGTATTTATTTGCAAATAACTTGTTGCAACACAACATAGCATAGCACTTCGCTTCGGCCCCTATCGCATCTATCAGTTTAGTACATATGTACGTATACGCTATATTCGTTACAAATATTTAATTATGCTAATCTATTGTTATACAAACCACAAATACAAAAACTCATTTAAAAATGCCTTTAATATTTACAAGAATCAGCAAAACAATGCACAAATGAAATTGGCAAAATCGCACATGCGCAATAGATGACATTTTTTATTACAGCTGATGATAATTATTTTGCTCTTTCTAACTTAAAACGTCATCAAAACAAAAGGAAGTTACAGAGTTGTATCTTGCAAACATCTTTCCGAAACATTTATATTTAATTTTTTTACAAAAAAAAAAACAAACCCTTTTTTGATGACATGGATTATGATATTTAAATCTGGTAAATATTCATACATATGTGCATACATAGGTGCTAAGAAGCTATGAAGTTACAAAGTTAAAACAACTATTATAGCTTTTTTGTTGACCATCAAATGCAACACTGCGCCGGAAACCGGATGTTATAAAGTAGTTAATCAAAATTTCCGCATAGTCAGAAGCCGTCATCGATTCGACAACAGTTAACCAGTGGCAAAACGAACGAACTCAATGAGGTGTAACCAAACTCGCTATCGTCTATCCGTGCTAGCTAACTTTGTTGTTGCTTTCACACGCAAAATTCTTCTTTAAGCGACCGGAACTCAAACATAGCGAGCGAGAAGGGGCGAATCGATGACGGCTTATGTTGCTTTCACACGCAAAATTCTTCTTTAAGCGACCGTCATCGATTCGCCACTTCTCTCCCGCTATGTTTGAGTTCCGGTCGCTTAAATAAGAATTTTGCATGTGAAAGCAACAACAAAGTTAGCTAGCACGGATAGACGATAGCGAGTTTGGTTGTACCTCATTGAGTTCGTTCGTTTCGCCATTCGCTAACTGTTGGCGAATCGATGACGGCTATAGTTATAAAAATGTTAAAGAGAATGTTAAATAAAATTTCAAAAATTTTTGCAACTAATTTATATTCCTGATATGAGGTATTTAAATATTAATGCATTATACATTTTGTGGTGGTTTTCTACACATTTTAACATTTTTAGTAAATTTTTCAGGTCATTAATTTTATCATAAACAAAAAAATGAATGAATAGATTTTCGGAAATTTAAATCGCTTTCAAAAGTCACTTAATATGCAATGTGTATTTCCTCCTACAATCACTTTTGGAAATTCATGAGTTTGAGAGACTTATCAAAACTGCTTGCACTTGCCAGTCTAAGAGCTACTTTCGTGTGGCCCACTCAAAGAGAAAAATGTGCAAAAAAGTACGTGAATGCAAAACCAGTAACTATTGTATTTACAGCTGATTAATTTGTTGATTATTGGCAGCATTTTCCTAATATATTATTTATGTGTTATTTAAATAGGTTCATTCTGTCAATTCCAACTATGAAAACCTCATAAGCAGTTCTTTTATTAAATGTGAATTGCACCCATCAACATGCGATCAGCTGTTTTTCTTACTGGCAAATTGTTGTAAGTTAAATTTTGCCATTCAAAATTGCAACTTCCTCTCGCAATTTCCCTAACAGTGTACGTTTTTGGGATACATTAACAGCAAAATTGAATAATTTGGAACAACTGTTACAATTGTTGAGCTACAAGAACATTGTTTATAATATGTGCACAAAAATTTACCAATTTTTCACAAAAAGAAATGATCGAAACCATGATAAAAATACAGTAAGGTAGAACCGCTGAGAGGCACTTTTAAAATTCTTGACGATTCCAAACAATTTAATTTTTAAATTTACTCACAAACTCACACACACAATTTCATTTTCACTCTCAAGCAACAACAATTTCGAACAATTTAAATCTTTTATTTTCACTTTTATATGATTTTAAAATGTTGGCAAACTTCAAAAAAAAATCATGGCCGACAAATTGAGAGAACGGTTATACCTTGCTATGTTTTTCGATTAAATCGGGAGCACAAATACTGATTACTGGGCCTTGCAAAAAAGAAGGATCGATGCCTCTAGAAGCAAAAAAAAAAATACCAAGTAGCAATTCTGTAAACATAAAACATATCTACTTATTTCAAGCTTCAAGTCTTCCAGTTTGGCAACTACGGTGTAAAACTTCAATATAACGAAATGAAGGGTTTGGACAAATGCTTCCTTATATCTGTAGTTTCGTTTTATTTATAGCATATCAAAACAATGAAAAAAGGAAAATTTCTGAAAAAATTCGTTATAAGTTAAGTTTTTTTTCTAACGCCAATTCCGAAAGCTTTCATGCTCAACATTTCTTCGTTATTTCTACGGAACATTTTTGCATCGATAATTTCGCAACCACGATTTTTTTTCGGGGGACTTGGCAAAATATTTTTATTATACATATTTTGTTTTTCGTTGTGAAATCACCTAAATAATATGCATTAACCTCCAAATAAAACAGCATTTGTTATACATATTTTTTTATTGAAGTTTCTTATAAAAAGTGTGTTAATGTCAGAAAAGAACATGTACATATGTATGTAAGTATTATTAACAATTTCTTAATTCTCTAATAAAACACAATAATAAATGCATTTTAATATGTGCCCTGTTAATCATGTTAATATTTTTAAATAATCAAAAAAAATGTATTGAGTAAAAAAACTATTGTTATAATGTGTAAGTTATAAGCAAAAATTTAATAATTAATTCAATAATTATGTATAATTCAAAAACTTTAAATCACGAAGTTAATTGATTTGACAATTATCAATGAAGTAAAAAATATTCGTCACTTGTTAAAATAAGCACAATTTACATACATACGTCTGTGTGTATTTAATGTGTATTCTACATAATGTTAAACCATATTTTTCGAGTTGTTTGTATTTCTTCTCATTTTGTGTGTATGTATGTATGTATGTAAATTGACTTTATGATATTGCGGTGTTATCGATTATAAATTCTTATAGCTGCTCTAAACTTAATTTAAGTATGTATGTAGTTGCGTATATTCGTTTGTTTAGAAGTACATACATACATATTAAATATTTTATTTGTATTTGTGCTCTATTTCGCACGCTGTTTTTTGCAACTTTTTAATTTCTTAGTTTTTTTAGTCAATATTTTTATAATTCTCTTTTTTATCTTTTGTCGCTTTGCTTCAAAAATAATTTTTTTTTTTTTTATTATTATTTATTATGCTTTCACTTTGGAGTGCTTTTAATCAACTAATTCTAAATAACTTAAATCACAGATATCTCTAATGTATGGTTCAATTCAAATGTTTGCCAACTTCAAATTAAATGCAAATGTACATACATACATACATATCTATGTGTGTGTAAGTACGTATGTACATATGTCTAAAAAATGGCCACGCGGTTTGTTTATAAACTTGAATATGTTAGATCTCAAAATCGTTGCTGATTTCAAAATTGTATACCTTTGTTTGTTTGTAGTATTTTGAGGTTAGTTTTACTGGCCATTTAATGAAATTTTTTGTTAGAAACTTTTTAATATGAAAAAAGCGCTATTTATCTAAAAAAATAAAAAAATATAATCAGGCGTGGTTTGAAAGCAGTACAAAGTCGTACTTTTAAGTGCAAATTTTATGGGTCTTCGGGATTTTAAAAATAAAAATGTTTCAAGTACCAGGTATTCATGAAATGTGATGTGTAAGTATCTGTATACGACTTGGCAAAACACGAGACGATTCGGTTACCTACCTAAATAGGTTAGGTTAGAAATTAAACAATATTATTATTTTTTTCATTTTATTCCTTTTGTCGGGACCACTACACGACTTTTTCACAACCACTTCGGGAATAGTTAAGGATTGTTTTAGGATAATATCAGCATTGTTTCTAGGTACCACGAGTCCTGAGGTGGTTCAGAAAAAATCATGAACTTGCCTCTAAATCATCTCAAGTCTTCAAGTCAAGTCTTGAAACAGTCTCGTAATGGTCCTTTACTAGGCCCAAATTGATCCCAAACTAGTGCTGTAATGTTGCTGAACCAGAACCGAAATATTCCTGAAATAGTCACAAAATGGTCTTGAAATAATTGTGAACTATCTCGAAATGGCCCTGAACAGGTTCCGAAAAATGATGCCGAACTAGTTCGGAATGGCGATGAAAAGTTCAATTTATAAAAACAGATAAATCGGGGTTTTCCTATAACTTCTTTATATGATGTCCGATTTGTAAAAAAGTTATACTTTTTCCTGAAAGCGGCACCATGAATCAGTGGTAAGAAGCTTAAAAATACACTACCGTGCCTTGAATATAATAACTTTGCCAAACTTGATAGCTGCAGCCGAATTAAATCGCGAAAAAATTTACTTTAATTACATATCGCTAGCTTAGGGCCTGATAGAAAGCCCCGATTTAGCTATTTTTACAAGGTGCCGACTTTTTTTGTTTACTTTCCAGAAATACTCTCCTAGTTAGTGCCTGTTCAAACTCGTTTGGAACAAATTGAACTTTTTTCGGCCCCTATATTTACTATGGCAATACGGTCTAATGTATGTACATTAAGCTCTACCCAGAATTACAGCGGATGACGGTAAAGCGGTCGGCGGTAAGTTAACAGCTGTACGGTTACCGCAGTGAAATCCGTCAGACTAAACGCAATTGCGGCGCACGACGGCTTTCGTCAGTTGTCATTTTGATTTGAAAATTATCATTTAAATTAAATACCAACCCAAAAAACTACTCAATTCAATTGCAACAATTTTTCAATGAACAAAACAAAAAAAAAAAAAAAACAAAGAAAAACAAGCAAATGCAATAAATAGCCATAAATTAAAATATAGCGCTCTTATCCATTATTGTTTTAAAATTATTTAAGTTGTGATTTTCTATTTGCCACTAATGAATTATAAATCTTTTAAAAATCGACTTAACTGTAAAATTATTTATTTTTAATATGCCATTTTGTAAAATTGCACACAATGCACGTCATTTTATTTTTCAGTTAAATGCAACTACTACAGAAAAATATGTTTATCTTTTATCTTTTATTATTTTTATTTTTCTCCTCATTCATTTTATTGTTCTTCTCATTTATTTAGCAATAGAAGTGCTTTGTTTACATGCAAATGCTGCTGTGATATGTTCATGTTCTGTTTGTGAAAAATATGTATGTATGTTTGTTTTGAAAATAATTGGCAATGAGTTTGTATATATGTATATAACCATCATACTTACTATGTTTATATACTACATACATACATTATGTATCTCTGTGTAGCACACATATACATACATATCGTTACTTTAATTCACAAAGGTCCTAACCAAAAAATTTTTTGTTCTGCAGGAGAAGCAAAAAAACATTATTCAGAGAGTATTAAAAGCAGGTGGGGCTTTTAAAAAATATTTTTGTTTGGTACTAGGACTTTAAAATTTTTATTGAAGGTGTACTCTAATAAATCCTACCAAAATCTGTGAAAATACAGTTTCGATGTTGGTTAGGGTCTTTTGTGAATTAAGGTAACGATATATACATAGGTATAAATATGTGCTTAGACCTCACGCAAAAAGTGAGTGTAAGCTACTATTAAATTTTCAACGCTTGAATATTTGAATTTGAGCTTAATCTCACTTTTTATGCAAGAACACAAGGCACATTGAACAGGTAGCAGCAGTAGGGTCGCAATTTTTTCATTCGAAGTAGTTTATGAATTTTTTTGGTCTAACGTTGCTATCTGTTCATAGTGCCTTGCATGAAGTCCTAATGCTTGAAACACATTGAAAACGACTGGCTAGGGGCCACAGCTGTCAAATTATTTTAACACGTACGCTTATTTAGATAGTAATTTTGCCGGCGACACAACTACAGCGCGACTGTAGTTGTGACCACATTAGAACTATTTATATTTTCATAGCGACAGATAAGGGTATTCCTTTAATTTTAAACATGCATGTCGCCACAGGCCACAGCTTCCAGCCTGTCGTCTTCAGTGTGTTTTAAGCATAAAGCTTGCAACAATTCCTGTGATACCTCTCATATATATATTTACATACATTTCACACCCCTTTTCGCTTAAGCTTTTCTTATATAATTTTTGTGATTTTATTTTAATTTTTAATTTAATTCTCTTCTTTTACCGTCTTTTTACTTTAATTTCTTGTCTTTAAATGGCACAAAATAAGCTTTTCGTCAGTAATAAATTTCGCCACCCTAACAATTTTTGCATTTAAATTGGCTTGTCAGTGGCTGTCAAACTATGCCGCTATTTTTAATTGGTGGTTATAGAACATTTCCTTATTGCTTATTGGATTTTTAGCTTTCCAACTTTTATTCAGCAACTGTCAATATGTAATGGCTGTCAATGAATATGGCCGCCCATTTCTCATCTCATCGATTGCTCGCCTCGCACATTCGTTCGCTTTCTCATTTGCACACTTTAAACATACACTTCCGGACAATCTTCATCTTTGATCGATGTGTATTGCACTTTTTTGGCTACATTGTCGAAAACCGGCGTAATCATATACTTGATGCGCTCACGGCTCACATATACCAGCGCCACCACCAATCCGAGCAATATCATACTCAACACAATAAGCAGGAAGATAAGTGTCACTGTGTGTTGATTCATGTGCGGTCGTCCGGACGTCGCGCCAGCACCACCCTCGCCTCCGGCACTCTCATCCGACCCGCTACTGCCGTAGTGTAAATTTGTCGCTGTATTGAACATCATGCTGGCAGCCGCCACCGCTGTCGCACATCCTTCCATATTCAGCTCCATTATGGGCAGTGGCTCCACATCGTTGCGGTAGCACATTAGCGTATTCTTATTGCGCACCGTTACATTCGTTGACAGCACCCAGGTGTGAAATGAGCTGATCTTGCAGTCGCAAACGAATGGATTGAGATTGAAGTCGACAATGAGGTTGGTGGTGCGGTCGGTGCTCGTCTCCAGCTCGTTGAGCAGCATCATGTCGTGCGTTTTCACATATTCGAATTTATTGCGCTCCAAATCGAGAAAGCGTAGGTTCTTTAGGCAGCGCACCTCAAAGTTGATCTCTTTCAGCAAATTATCACCCAAATGTAGATCACGCAAGCTAGGCAGATCGCAAAAGACGTTGCGGTCTTTGAAGTGTGTAATCTCATTTTGCTCCAGATGTAGCTTCTGCAATTTCACCAGCTGACTATTGACGAATATATCATGCAAATCTTCGCTCAACTGCGGCGAACTGTTATCATCGAATGCGTCGGTGAGGTGTAAACTTTGCAAATTCAGAAAGTTCGAAAAGACGCGTGGATGGTGGTGATTGACTTCGTCGTCGTCGCGTGAAATGCTCAAGTTGTTGTGATTCAAAATCAAACGTTCCACATTTTGCACATGATGATAGGATTTGCCACGTATTTCGCGTATATGATTGTTGCTCATATCGACGATCTTCAGATTCTTATAGTCGTTAATCGAGCCGAAAACATTCCAAGGCAATTCGAGTACAATATTGCCGGTGAAGATTAGGATTTCCACCTCATCCGGCATGAATTCAAGTACGCTGGTATTGTGTATGCCTGTGTTTGTGCAGTTGACTATGTAACTTATGCTGCCCTCGTAGAGCTCGCGTCCACACAGGCATGCCTTGGGGAAGTTGGGACCACAACTCGACGAGCCAATGACAGGCAGTTGTGCTGTGACGCACAAGCAGGTGGCTGTGAGCAGCAGCGCATAAAGTAGGAGCTGTGATTTGGTGCTTGTGGTTGTGGTGGTGGTGTTCATTGTGGCTTCTGGTTTGAACACTGTGCAGACGTCTCGTTGTCACTGTAATTAAATGAAAGCAAAAATAATTTTGGTTAGTGCTGAAATTTAATTCATTAAGCTGTAGATAAATATGAATTTATGCATATATACATTAGGGTGACCCAAGAAAAAAGTTACGGTCTTATAATTTAAGACCTACGCCAAAATATTTTGGAAAAATATCAAGATTTCAGTGAGCTGGACCGATTTGAAAATATATACATCCCAAATGTTATTTTTTTAATTGCGCGTTGGTATAATATTTTTAAGCATTTTTATGTAGATCTTGTTAGCTTGTTCTATCATTTGAAACAAATTTTTTAAAAATTAATTTTATTTATAAAACTCGATTTTTTGAGATATTTTCAAATCTGTTCAGCTCACGTAAATTTTAATATTTTTCTGAAATATTTTGGCGGCTTTCTTATAATATAATGTAGAATGTTTCATCCTAATGTACTTTACTTTATTTTATTCTGTTACACTTTGTTTTAATTTATTTTGTTTTATTTTACTTCATTTCATTTTGTTTTGTTATTTTCCTGTTTCTTATTTATTAAAACTTTATTTAACATAATTTGTTTTAATTTAACTATGCCCGGTAGCATCAATCAATTTTAAATTTATCAGCCTGATAAAATTTTAAATGACACAACTTTGTTCGCAAAATTTGTAATTTTAAATATTTACAGTCTGATATATTTTAAAATTAGTTTCATTTAATTTAATTTAGCTTTATTTTATTTCATTATACCCGAGCGCACTTGTGCACAAGGGTATATTAATTTTGTTCACATAACGGTTGTTTGTAACAGCCAAAACGAATCGAGATAGATATAGACAAATGTATACATAAATGATCAGGATGAAAAAAGAAATCGATTAAGCCATGTCTGTCTGTCCGTCCGTCTGTCCGTCTGTCCGTCTGTCCGTCTGTCCGTGTACACGATAACTCGAGCAAAAATTGAGATATCTCAACGAAATTTGGTATGTAGGTTTCCCTTAATCCAAGGTAGGTTGTTATTGAAAATGGGCGAAATCGGACTTTAACCACGCCCACTTCCCATATAACGGTAATTTCCAGAAATACGAAAACTGCGATATTTTAGTAACTACTGAAGATAATTCACTCAAAATTGATATTTACAATAATTTTTAGACGAAAAATAAGAATATTATAAATTTTTGGAAAATGGGCGTAGCCACGCCCACTTATGGTTACATGTGTATATCTTGGTAACCGCTGCACCAATTTCTTCCAAACTTGGCACAGTTGTTGGCCTTCGCACAACATACCAAATGGCCGAAAATTTTTAAAATCGCTCAATAACCACGCCTACTTCCCATATAACGGTAATTTTCAGAAATACGAAAACTGCGATATTTTAGTAACTACTGGAGATTATTCACTCAAAATTGATATTTATAATAAGTTTTAGACGAAAAATAAGAATATTATAAATTTTTGGAAAATGGGCGTAGCCACGCCCACTTATGGTTACATGTGTATATCTTGGTAACCGCTGCACCAATTTCTTCCAAACTTGGCACAGTTGTTGGCCTTCGCACAACATACCAAATGGCCGAAAATTTTTAAAATCGCTCAATAACCACGCCTACTTCCCATATAACGGTAATTTTCAGAAATACGAAAACTGCGATATTTTAGTAACTACTGGAGATTATTCACTCAAAATTGATATTTATAATAAGTTTTAGACGAAAAATAAGAATATTATAAATTTTTGGAAAATGGGCGTAGCCACGCCCACTTATGGTTACATGTGTATATCTTGGTAACCGCTGCACCAATTTCTTCCAAACTTGGCACAGTTGTTGGCCTTCGTACAGCATAAAAAACCGCCGAAACTTTTTAAAATCGGACAATAACCACGCCCACATCCCATATAACGGTAATTTAGAGAAATACAAAATCTTCGATAAATCAGTAAATATTGAAGCTAATTTATTCAAAATTGATGCTTGCAACAATTCTTTACCAAGAAATACGTTTATGGTAAAATTTTGGAAAATGGGCGTGGCACCGCCCACTTATGATCACATATAAGTATATCGGTAACCGTTCTACCAATTTGTACCAAACTCGGTATGGTTATTGTACTTGCCACATATAAGCAAAACGTTGAAAATTATTGAAATCGGACTAAAATAACGGCCGCTTCTCATATAACGGTAAATTTCAGAAATGCTTGAAACTTCAATATTTCGAAATTGAAGGACGCTAATTTACTCAAAATTGATACACCTCGGCTTACCATCTAGCGGAAGGTTTCGGAAGGGTGAAAAAACATACATTTAACACTTGCGCCGGGTATTTAATGTTCGGCTCCGCCCGAACTTAGACTTTCTTACTTGTTTTATCTTACTTTTTTATTTTTTAATTTCATTTAGTTTAGTTAATTTAATTTAATTTCAGTTTTTTATTTATTTAATTTTTTTTATTTTTTTATTTTATTTTTATTTTTAAATTTTAATATTTATTAATTTAAATTTTTTATTTTATTAATTTTTGTTGTAACTTATTTCATTTCATTAAATTTGTTATTATTTATTGTATTTCTTTCAACTTATTTTATTTTTATTTGGTTTTATCTTTTTTATTGATGCTTTTTTTTAAATTAAAATTTAATATATTTTCCTGAATTATTTTAGTT